AAACAAAAATTATAATTCGATTCATTGAATAATTCAAAAAACACATACTAACAACTGATAGCATATCGTTTTGGAAATTTATATGTCAACAAAACTTAACAGGTTATTTCTTTCTGTTTCTTTTCTTTTCTTTCTACATTGTCATTTTTTGAATTTAAATTTGAATTTAGAACCATAGTGTATTGGGGAGCATCTGTCATCAAAATGCTGCATCTAATCTACTGTTTACTCAACGTAGAAATTAATTAGATCTCAGGTTTAATGATCGTTGCTTAATTTGAGGAATAATGGTTTTGGAAATCGTCCAATATAATTAAAAGCTTAATTTGGGGACCATCCGTCATCAAACCGTTGCTTAATTTGAGGATAATGGTTTTGGAAATTGTCCAATATAATTAAAAGCTTAATTTGGGGACCATCTGTCATAAAAAAATTGGAAATAAATTAAATGAAAAAAGAAATTTGAAAATAAATTAAATGAAAATTTATGTAAATAATTTTTGGTGGCAGACAACTCATTCAATGTCCCACTCAATTCTACATTGGAATTTCCAAATTAATAATAACTCAACTCTTCTAAATTTTAAATTTATGTTTAAATTTGAATTTTGAATTTGAAGTTTTAACTTTGTAATGGTGGGAAAAATTTTGGAAATTTTTTTGTGACAGTAAACTCATTTAATGTCCCACTATTTTTATTTTATTGTATATTATGAGTAAAAAAGACCTCTACTTTTTCTTTGTATATCCCACTATTTTTTGCATGGATAATTGTTAGCTCTATTAATGCAGCATTAAAAAAACAAAAACATTAAAAAATATTGTAAAATAGCAAAATTATTTATATTGTAAAATAAATTAGAAATTTGGAAATAAATTAAATGGAAAATTATGTGAATAATTTGTTGTGGTAGACAACTCATTCAATGTCCCATTGCATTATACATTGGAATTTCCAAATTAATAATAATTCAACTCTTCTAAATTTTGAATTTATGTTTAAATTTGAATTTGAATTTTTAACTTTGTAATAGTGAGAAAACTTTGGAATTTTGTTTTATGGCAGACAACTCATTTAATGTACTACTATTTTTTTTGTATATTATGAGTAACAAAGACTTATACTTTTCTTTTGTTGTATATCCCACTATTTTTCTCATGCATAATTGTTAGCCCTATAAATGTTGCATAAAAAAAATACATTAAAAAAATATTGTAAAATAACAAAATTATTTATATTGTAAAATAATTTCGAAATTTGGGAATAAATTAAATAAAAAATTATGTTCACAATTTTTTGTGGTAGAAAACTCATTCAATGTCTCACTGTTTTCTACTTTGATATTTTCAAATTAATAATAACTCAACTCTTCTAATTTTTGAATTTATGTTTAAATTTGAATTTTGAACTTGAATTTTTAACATTGTAATGGTGGGAAAAGTTTCAGAAAATTTTTTGTGACAGACAACTCATTTAATATCTCACTACTTTTATTTTATTGTATATTATGAGTAAAAAAGACCTCTACTTTTTTTGTTGTATATCCCACTACTTTTTGCATGGATAATTGTTAGCCCTATTAATGGTGCATGAAAAAAAACTAAAAATATATTGTAAAATAAAAAAATTATTTATATTGTAAAATTAATTCTAAATTTGGAAATAAATTAAATAAAAAATTATGTGAACTTGATATGTGGAAAAAGAGTTCTGCATTTAATATTTATGCTGTGAGAAAAGATATATGTAATAATTTGAATTTAATATAAAATTATAGATTAAATAATAAAATATTTAAAATTATAAAAATACATTTATAGTCGATAAAAATCATTTAAAATTTCAAATTTAAATAAAAATAAATAAGAAATGACACAATTTATACTTTACAAAAAATAAATTAAAATTTTAACATCAAAATTTTAAATATGCATGTATAACCAATTAAAAAAATATACCTGTATTTTTTTAAAAAATATTTAACATAAACATTTTAATTATACATGTATAACCAATTAAAAATATATATACAAATCATAAATTAAAATAGAAAAAATTATATAAAAAATATGTATAATTAATATAAATTTTTTTAAATTGAAATAAAAAATGACGTCTGTCATTCTGTAAAAAAATATTAATATTTAAGTACTATAAAAATGAAAATTTTAATTTAGTATATATAAAAGAAATTAAACTTTCATTTTTTTATATTTCAAGAGTGTAATTAACACAAATACTTGCAAAAAATAATTATTTATATAAAATACTGACAATTACAGGTGGAAAACTGAGCTCAACCTGCCAATATATTTTTATAATTCAATTGAAATTGTATCATTTTTCTTTTATAATTAAATTACTAAATGTGATTTCAATTTTTGTAAATACAAATTTGTGAAATTCCAAAGACTAATGACATTAATCCTTGCAAAAAAAATATTTATATAAAATGCTGACAGTTAGAAGTGGAAAACTGGGCTCGGCCCGGAGGGCCGGCCCGCCAATATATTTTTACAATTTAATTGAAATTTTTTCCTTCTTCTTTTATAATTAAATTACTAATTCTGATTTATATTTTTGTAAATATAAATTTGTGAAATTTCAAAGATTAATGACACTAATCTTTGCCAAAAAAATTATTTATTATTATTTTATGAATCTGATTGTAGTAAATGAAAGTTCATCTCTGATATAAAATATAAAAAACTAGATGCAACTATAATTTTTTTTTTGTGTGGATAAATATAATAACCTTTTACTTGCTGATAGTTAGAGGTGGCAAACTGGACTCGGCCCGGAAGGCCGGCCCACCAACACATTTTTTTAATTAAATTAAAATTGTATCCTTCTTCTCTTTTAATTAAATTCCTAAATTTGATTTAAATTTTTGTAAATACAAATTTGTAAAATTCCAAATACTAACGACACTGATCCTTGCAAATCCTAAGCTACGTTGATATGCCATTTGGTGGAAAAATTGTTGTTCTGGGAGGTGACTTTCGGCAAATATTACTTGTCATTTCTCATGGCAGATGACAGGAAATAGTAAATGCAACCATAAATTCTTCTCATCTATAGTCCTATTGTCATTTATTAATTTTGACCAAGAACATGCGTCATAATTCTGGAAGTACCACTCATGATGTGAAGAAAATAAAAGAATTTTCAGAGTGGCTACTTAAAGTTGGGGATGATGATTTTGGAGATGATGAAGACGATGAATCTATGATAACAATTCCAGATGAATTATTGATTACAGAATCGGAAGATCCCCTTTCAGATATGGTTAATTTTGTTTATCCGAACCTCTTGGATAATATTTTAGATCCAACATTTTTCAAAGAACGTGCTATTCTAACTCCAAAATTGTCCAATGTTGCTATGCTGAACGAACACCTGATGTCTATGAACACATGTGCTATTCTAACTCTAACGTTTTTTTTCTTATGCAGGAATCGTTTTTCATGCACACATGGTATATTGTCAACTGCTATTTTTGAACAAACAATATTCCATCGTCATCAATATATGGATGTATTGTTATGACACTTTTTATTTGTACTTACATGTTCGTGTGTCTTTTTTTTTCATACTTTGATTTGTTCATTATTACTCATTCATTCCTCAAAGAATGAAGGATAAAAAATGTAGGTTCGGCATCTTGCATGTGTTGTGTTAGTTTTTATGAGACAAATAAATCGATTTTTTTCTTCTTCCGTGCAACGCACGGATAATACACTAATTTTATACTGAATTTGCATCCTTTTCCTAATGTCAGGAACATTGTCACCTAAATTTTATGCTAGAAGGAGCAATTTTTTTTAAATGAAAATATTAGGCTTTTAAACTGCACATAAAAACATGGTTGTTGATCTATACCGTAAACCTCTCATTTAAAATAAAAAAACAAAAGATAATCAATTATTAGCAAGTTATATTTCAGTCACCGCATGTGTGATAAACTTAAATCATAACTATAAAAATTTATTTAATAATTTCCAATACAAAATCAATTAAGCATATTTTGATAAATTATAATTTATTTTAGAGTTTAATATTTGTCTTTTTAAAGAATAAATAAAATGGAATAAGTTATTTTACCTATAATTTTTCTGCCTACTTTTATCTATCACTCTACAACACCGTTAGATCAGAATCTTAACTAACATTGATTTTTCTCTGATCTAACAGTGTTGGAGAGTGGTAGACAAAAGTAGACAGAAAAAATAGTAGGTTGAATAACCTATCCCAAATAAAATTATTATGTCATTTTAAGTGAGAGAAAAATATAAGTAATGAAAGTTACAAGAGAGAAAGTAAGTGGTTTTTTAAATTTAATTTGTTTAAAAATACTAAATTATGTCTTTCTCTCATTTAAAATGACACAACTTTATGTCATATAAAATAACAAATATTTTTTTCTTTATTTTACATATATTTTTTGTCATTGCAACCGTATGAATTATAATAAAAGATTTCATTCCATAATTTGGGTGTCATGGATTTGGACTCTTTCCTTGTTTCTGTACACGCATAATTTATGATTTACTTATGAAATTACAATGGTTGAACTTAAGCAACTTAAATGTTTACTATTTATGAACTGAAATGTCATGGTATAAGTTATCAAGAAAAAACAAAGCGGAAAAAAAATTAAATTGTTTTTAGTTTTGTCATTCTATCTGGTTGACACAGTAGGTAGCGGGTGAGGTGCACGTTTGCATCTTTCAGCATCACGAATGCCACGTGTACATTGGTGTGTGGCACAGGAAATGAAGCGTATGGCGTGACAATACCGTAGAGATACCCAGGTTATAAAAATATCTTCAGAAAGGAACCACCTTCTCTGCAAAAGACGCGAATCTCTTTCTCTCTCTCTCTTTTTAATTATCTCTTCTTATTCTCGCTCATTTTTTTTTCTCTCTCTTGCCCATTGAAAGCGAAATCAAACTGCACAAAACAAAAACATTACGAGTCTAAAAAAACGGATCCCAAACAATAACTGAACCCTAACCCTAGAAAACGGGGCTTATCCTCTACTTCCCTTCTCCGTTCGTTCCTTCACTCTGAAATCGAACGAAGTCCGTTTCGGTTCGTCTCCACTGGTGCATGCTGTAGGGTTCGTCTCCACAAGTTGTTACGATAGGGTTTCGATTTCTATGATGGAATGCTTTGGTTCTTGTGTACCTTGTTGTTGCCGGCGATGACCGGGGACCGATGTCACCGGTTGAAGACCATGGCGGAAGAAGAAGGGGGTGTCGCCGTCGAGGAGAAGGCCTGCCCCAGGAATTTTCCGGCGGACCAACCGGAAACTCGTGACGACTCCGCTGCATTAGAGATTGATTACTTCTCGCAGGCTAGGAAAGCGCTAAGCGAGCGCTCGCCTTTCGATGTTGCCGAGGAAACGTCGACTTCTGGTACGGTTACTCTGCCGAGTGGGTTGGCGAGTTTGTTGAACCGTCACGGCGATAACCGGAGGCGCCACAAGAAGTCTCATTCTGGTGGTGGGGAGAAGAAGAAATCGTCGTCTAGAGCGAATGAGAAGTCGCGCGGTTACAACATTTGGGTTGAGACCGAGGAGTACTTTAGGGACTTGACGTTTTCTGATATCGACACCTTGCTTGAGGCTTCTTCGTCTTCTTGTTTAGCTTCTCGGGAGTGTTTTTCTATTCCGCGTTTGGGAAATGCTCCAAGGTTCAATGTAGTTAGTACTAGTAGTGAGGCCGTGGATGAAAAGACGCCTGTTCCAAGATTCAACGTAGTTAGTAGTGAGGATGTGAAGAAGACTGGTGAAGAAGTGAAAGAAGAGGATGGTTTGTTGGGAATTGAGTCAATTGACAATGTTGCCGCTGAGAAAGATTTGCCTCGGGATGACAAGAGTCACGATGATTCTGATTCTTCTATTGGTTTAGAGTGGTTTTTAGGTTGTAAGAATAAGGTTTCCTTAACTTCCGAGCGCCCTTCGAAGAAAAGGAAGCTTTTGGGTGGTGATGCTGGTCTGGAGAAAGTTTTAATGACCAGTCCTTGTGATGCGGACCAACCGTTTTGTCATTACTGTGGCAGGGGAGACACTGACAGTGATTCCAATCGGTTAATTGTCTGCACTTCTTGTAAAGTTGCAGTTCATCGGAAGTGCTATGGTATGCAAGATGATGTAGATGAGTCTTGGTTGTGTTCTTGGTGTAAGCGAAAGGGTGATTTTGATGACTCTGTGGATCCTTGTGTTCTTTGCCCAAACAAGGGTGGCGCATTAAAACCGGTTAATAGCAGTGTGGAAGGTTTTGGGTCTGTCCAGTTTGCGCACCTGTTCTGTTGCCTGTGGATGCCCGAGGTTTATATAGGCGATTTGAATAAGATGGAGCCTGTTATGAATGTGGAAGGAATCAAGGAAACACGGAGAAAATTAGTGTGTAATGTTTGCAAAGTGAAGTGTGGTGCATGTGTGCGGTGTAGCCATGGTATGTTTTGTTGCCTTTTTGTACTATGCAAATTTTGTTTCTTAGGCCAGTATTGTGGAGACCATTGTAGTGTTTAGAAGCTATAGCTGATTGTACGTCTGTTAGGCCTCTTTCATTTGGTTTCATGCTGCAATGTTTTGAAGTCACATAGTTTTATAGTTGTCTATTACCCTTTGATTTTTAGTTTGTATGTTTCCTGCTTGTAGTTGCAGGTAATTAGATGGTTGGGTTACTTTGTGTAAGATGATTAGTGTATTAAACTAGGTGTAGTGAGTGAAAATGAGCTCAATTTACTCTCTGATTAATGTTTGACCCTTATGTGGAACGATTTCTTAATTTTTTGTACTAGCATCATGATGCAGATCATACATTTCGGTGCATTTGCAGTATATCTGCACAAAATCTTGCTGTTTATCAAGTAAAGGCTTCCACAAATGTAATCCTGTACTGATCAAATATTCAGACCTCAGATTGATAAAAAAACTAAGACTTTTAAAATGCAAAAATGCTGATTAAAGTTGAAGAACATTAGTTACTCTGTCTGACTGATTTTAGTGGTTGTTAAAATATCAATTTGGTTCAGCATTAGAGTTGCTCTGTACGCTTACGTGCCTTCTTCAAGAATGTATGTGTTTAGAGACTTGTTCATGTTCTTTCTCTTGAAGAACATACATGTTTGTATTTAATTCTGTGCACCTGATTATGTTTTTGTGATTTCTAAAATGTCACCAGTCCCTATTTTGTTTTTGAAATTAAATCAGTTTTAGGTTGGTTTTCTTTCTATTTTTCTTACTAGAGGTTTGCACAATTCAATCTTAAAGTGAATATCCTAATTCTTTGTTTGAATCTTGCATAGAATTTGCTTAGTATCTGAACTGGACATTTGACTTGTTGATTATACACATTCAGTGATTGAAATATGCAAGGCAAGATTTTGAAATTACTTTTGTGCAGTTCGATTTTTTACGTGGCTCAAGAAAATGTTGTTAATGTGAGTAGCCTTTATATTGGACCTGGTTCTTGTTCATTCTTTTGTGCAGTCTTCCTTGTTCATTGTTTCTCCTTCAATTTGATTTTAAGGAGAAACTAAAGACACTGAAATAGATTTTATGTTATGTTGGGGATGCACATATTAGTGGCCAATGTCTGATGATATACTCAGATTATTTAGAATCTTAGGCTGTTTCTCTTTTTAACTACACAGCATGTTTAATTAGAGTAGAGATTTGGCAGAGAGTTTAACTCTGTTTCTTGTGACGTTCAATTAACCTTCTGTTTATGAAATTTGGATATTGGGCTGTTTTTTTAGCTAAATTGGAAATTGGATATTGATGGAATTGGTTTATTTCCCAGGTAGCTTCTAGTTGTTTCTTGCTGATTTGTCCTGGATATATTTGTGAGCATTTTTAATAGAGTATATCCTGCCACAGAATAGCAAGCCAAAAGTATAAATAGATAGGTAAAACAAAAATTGAGCCTACTGAAAACATGTCATTTTATTTTAAAAAAAGAAACATACATAATTTTTTTTATTTTTAATAGAAAAGATGCAGTGCAAATTCTGCATTGCCCACCTTCAATCTTCCTCTTAAAGTGGGAAGACGTGCTATCGGACCCAAGGTTTGTCAGAAAACGAGTATGGAAACACAATTCCACAATTGGACATAGTTAAATGTAAAAGAATATGTTGTGTATTGATCTGTGTCAGGGAGCTACAATATATAGAGACCCTAATGGGCTTAAGTGTAAGGCCCAAACCTAATCCTAATACAGTCAGACTATTTACGGATAAGACAGAATCCAATCATATCTAATCAAATCTAATCATATCATATCTAATATTCTAACACTCCCCCTCAAGCTGGTGCGTATATATTATGAGCACCAAGCTTGTTACAAATGTATTCAACCCGAGGACCTCTAAGAGCTTTAGTGAAAACATCTGCTAGTTGATTAGACGAGTTGACAAAAGCTGTCTTGATTTCTCCTGACTGAATCTTTTCCCGAATGAAGTGACAATCAATCTCTATATGTTTGGTCCTCTCATGAAAAACAGGATTAGAGGATATATGTAGCGCAACTTGATTATCACAGATGAGTGTCATGGGTTGTTTCTGTTCACAAAGATGAAGCTCCTGAATCAACTGCTTTAACCAGATCAACTCACAGGTAGTATTTGCCATTGCACGATACTCAGCTTCTGCACTAGATCGGGAAACAACAGGTTGTTTCTTGCTTTTCAATGAGATTAAGTTTCATCCGAAGAAGACACAATAACCAGAAGTAGAGCGTCTGTCCGAGGGTGATCTTGCCCAATCGGCATCTGAGTAACCACAAATTTCTGTATTTCCCTGATCCGAATACAACAAACCTTTTCCTGGTGCTCCTTTGATGTATCGGAGGATCCTCACAGCAGCATCCCAATGTGAATCACAAGGGGAATCAAGGAACTGACTGGCCGTACTGACAGCGAAAGAAATATCTGGCCTAGTCACAATAAGATAATTGAGCTTCCCAATCAGCCTTCGATAACGTCCAGGATCAGATAACGGCTCCCCCTGTCTGGGCAATAACTTAACATTAGGATCCATGGGTGTATCAACTGGTTTACACCCCAACATACCAGTCTCCTCTAGGATATCCAAGGCATACTTCCTTTGACAGATAGAAATGCCCTGTCTAGATTGCGCCACCTCAATTCCCAAGAAGTAACACAGCTTCCCAAGGTCCTTTGTTTGAAATGCACTGAATAAATGTTGTTTTAACTGATGGATTCCGTCTTGATCACTTCCGGTGAGGATGATGTCATCAACATAGACTAACAAATAGATGCACTTGTTAGGAGATGTAATCCTATAGAATACAAAATGGTCAACTTTACTGCGAATTAGGCCAAACGCCTGTACAGCAGAACTGAAGCGACTGAACCATGCTCGAGGAGTGGCCAGTGACGAACAACAGCAAGGGCAAGAAATAGGCGGACGAACGCCATCTTAGCGACTGGAGAGAATGTATCGCTATAATCAAGGCCAAAGATTTGAGTAAAACCCTTGGCAACTAGGCGTGCCTTGAGACGATCAACATAGCCATCAGGTCCAACTTTCACAGTAAACACCCAGCGACAACCAACTATAGACTTCTCTGGAGGAGCAGAAACAAGGTCCCAAGTGCCATTGGTATAAAGTGCGGTCATCTCATCAAGCAACGCTTGGCGCCATCCTGGATGGGAAAGTGCTTCACCTGTGGTCTTAGGAATAGAAACAGAAGAAAGACTAGAAACAAAGGTGAAATGAGGAGGAGAAAGGCGATCATAGCTCAAGAAGGTATAAAGAGGATAAGGGTTACGAGTAGTACGTGTACCTTTTCTTTGAGCAATGGGAAGAGCCTCTGGTGAAGGATCCGGAGGGGAAGAATCAACTGCAGAGGGCAATGAGTCAGCAGGGGTCGAGTCGACTGGAGGTACTGTCTTACGACGCTGATAAGTGAGAAGTGGACGATCCTTAGGTACTGGAGCAATAGGTGATTGCTTATCTGGAGTAGAAGCACCTGCATCTGGCAAAGACAAGTCAAGAAAAGGAACAGGAAGAACATGATCAACCTGTGACAATGGAGATGGGATAGAATTAAAGGGTTGTTGATCAAAAAAGGTGACATCCGCGGAAACTAAGTAACGCTTGAGGTCAGGAGAGTAACAACGATAACCCTTTTGAAGACGAGAATAACCAAGAAAAATGCATTTAAAGGCTTTGGATGTTAACTTATCCTTACCAGGAGTGAGATCATGAACAAAATAGGTATAACCAAAAACATGTGGGGATAGAGGAAAGAGAGGAACATCTGGAAACAATAAGTTATGAGGAATATCATTATTAAGCACAGATGAAGGCATGCGGTTGATGAGAAAGCAAGAAGCAAGGACTGCATCAGCCCAGAAGTGAAGAGGAACATGCATGTGAATAAGAAGAGTCCTGGCAATCTCAATGAGATGTCTATTCTTACGTTCAGCTACTCCATTTTGTTGTGGAGTGTGAGGACAAGTGGTTTGGTGTAAAGTACCCTGTGTGGCTAAGAAGTGAGAAAAGTCAACAGAAACATACTCCTTAGCATTATCACTACGTAAAATACGAATAGAAGCACCAAATTGAGTATGAATTTCAGCAGAAAACTTTTGATAAATAGAAAACAACTCAGAACGGTTTTTCATTAAATAAATCCAAGTACAACGGGAGAAATCATCAATAAAGGTGACAAAATACCGAAAACCTAAAATAGACACACTACGACTAGGACCCCAAACATCTGAATGAATAATTGAAAAAGGAGCATCAGCTCGTTTATTGACTCGATTAGCAAAGGAGGAGCGTATGTGCTTTCCTTGCTGACATGACTGACAATCTAAAGTTTGAAGACCGGATAAAAGAGGAACCATCTTCTGCAATTTCGCAAGACTAGGATGCCCGAGACGACTGTGGATGAGCTGTGGAGATTCTGTGAGAGAACAAGCAACTGAAGGACTCGGCACATCAAGGTAGAACAGACCCCGTGACTCACGGCCCACTCCAATCATCTTCCCCGTACCCGGGTCCTGCACAGAAACAGAATGGTTTGAGAATGTGACAATACAATTAAGAGAATTGATCAATTTACTAACCGATATTAAATTATAAGGGATGTGAGGAATGTAATAGACAGATGTCAAGGTCAATGAGGAGGTTGGACAGATTTGTCCAATCCCATGAACGGGGGCCTTAGTTCCATCAGCAAGAGTAAAAGAGGGTAAATTATTAGAATATGTAAGGGAAGAAAAGAGTTCCTTATTACCACAGAGGTGATCAGTAGCACCTGAGTCAAATATCCAAGGACCAAGTGATGCAGAATGAGAAACACAAGCAACAGGATTACCAGTTTATGAAGCAGAGGCCTGAGATTGAGGAGAGGACTTCCTGAGAAGGGCCTGGAATGCTGCATATTCTTCAGAAGAGAGAGAGACTGAACCATTTGAAGCAGTATCCGATTGAGCTACATTAGCAGCAAAAGAAGGTCGCATGTGAGGATACTTGGTGTAGCAGCGTTCCTCATAATTACCAAGTTGCTGACAGTAATGACAACGAGGTCGCTGACCACGTCCGACTGGACCTCCTGGGCCTCCTGGGCCACGACCTCCTGGGCCTCGGCCTCCTGGGCCTCTACCACGACCACGTCCACCTCCAATATGCCCGCGAAAATCAGTACGGGAAACTAGAGCAGTAGAATCAACAACAGAAGATGATGCAGGAGCAGATTTCTTATTCAAATTCAGAAGACGCTGATACGTCATGGATAGATCAGGCTCCCCACTAGTCAAGATAGTATCACGAACATTATCATATTCTTCGGGAAGGCCAGAAAGTGTGGCAACCATAAAGAGACGTTCCACCTGTTTCCGATATGCAGTAGCATCAGTAGGGTAAGGCAGCATATCCAAATATGCCTGCATCAAAGAGCGACTCTTGCCAATATATGTCTCCATCTGAATGTCGGATGATTTGCTCAATTCCATAAACTGAGAGATGATGAAATAGAGCTGCTGAACATCATTAGTGTAGAGGTTTTTTGCTTCCTCCCACACTTCAGTGCAAGTTTGAAATGAATAAAAGATATCCAAGACAATCGGATCAATGGATTGCCAGAGGATACTCAGAAGCTGGTTGTCAATCTTTTCCCAATCAGACTTGTCCTCCTTAGGGACATCAGTAGACTTAGTTGTGAGATGGTTCCCATATCCTTGTCCAAAGAACCAAACTCGAACAGAGGTGGCCCAGTTCTTGTAATTAACAGATCCCTTCAATTTTGAAGAGGTAATGGACCCAATATTGGTAGAGATGATATTGGGAGAATTTCTCAAAGGAGGAGATGGAGACTTGACCTCTGAATGAATTGGAGGGTTTGCTGCCATAGTATCAAATCACAAAGATACAAACCGAATAAAGAGAAACGAACCTGATCACCAATCAAGAAGAGGTGCGCACAAAAAGTCAGACCCACAAAGAACCAACCACAGATCCAGAAAGAGGAGGAGAAGACGAGCTTCTCTGTCCAAGACCGGCCGGAAAAAGCCGCCGGAATAGTGCTCACGCGCCGGCAGAAGGTGGCGCGTGAAGCCCACGCGCAGAGAAGACTGGAGGCGCGTGAGAGCGCGTGACAACTCCGATGGTGGCCGGACTTCCACAGAGCAGGTCGCCGGGAGGAGAGGGTTCTGTTCGCGTTCGTTCCAGACTGAAAACTCGCCGGAAAAGTACTCCGGCAGCCTGAACAGTGGCTGACGGTGGCTTATGGTGCACTGGTGACTGCTTGGGGATGTGGACATGTGCAGAAGATGCCTGGAGAGGACTTACAGCCTTTGATGTCTTACCGGAAGGACGCAAGGCAAAGAAAAGATGACTCCTAAGCAGTGGGCTTAGGTTTTAAAGCGAAGAACAAGATTTCTAAGCGGAAGCGAGGGTTCCCAGAACGAAATAGCTCTGATACCAAGTTAAATGTAAAAGAATACGTTGTGTATTGATCTGTGTCAGGGAGTTACAATATATAGAGACCCTAATGGGCTTAAGTGTAAGGCCCAAACCTAATCCAAACCTAATCCTAATACAGTCAGAATACAGTCAGACTATTTACGGATGAGACAGAATCCAATCATATCTAATCAAATCTAATCATATCATATCTAATATTCTAACAGACATAAAGTTCTTGTCTGCCCAAATACTGATTGAAAATTAATAGAGTCAATACAGTCACTGTAAGGTTCAATGTATCTAGTCCCCTGGTTAAGTAGCCTTTAGCTTAAAGGTTGTTACAACTGAATCTAAATTAGTTAGATTGAGTTCTGTTAGTTCTGCTAGAAGCTTCTAGACTATGCTTCTATTGTATCATCTATATAAGTCTGTTCTCTCTTCAGAACAATAGTGAATGATTTCAGTTTTACATTTTCTCTGAATGGCTCATTTACCAGTCTTCTGGTCCAAGATGACCTTCAACCAGAATTTCCTTGTTGATCTGTGTTTTAACATAACAGATTGAAGGGTGAAATTCAAAGAAAACTTTATTCTCACGTACAAATTTACTAACACCCATCAGATTTTTAGTGATGGAGGGAACTAAAAGAAGATTATATAACTGAAACATTGTGTGTGGTCTTAGTGGAGATGAGAATTTAGATGAACCAACAGATGTGATCTCCAGAACTTGACCATTTCCATTAAACACCTGATCAAGACCAGCTAACTGAGAACTCTGAAGCAAGTTCTGAGGATCTGAAGTTACATGGTGAGAGGCACCTGAGTGAGGATACCAATCCAGGGCCATCTGATCTGAAGAGTAAGCCAGAAATGCACAAGGATCTGAGTTCTGAGTGAAATTGACTTGCTGAGGAGGTGGAACACCTTTCAGCTAAACCCAGCTTAACTAGGGGACTAGATACATTGAACCTTACAGTGCCTGTATTGACTCTATTACTGTGGCAGGATAGTATACTAGGCATTTCGGAATTTGCTGATAAGTAAGAGTTAATGATTGTTTAATTCTGATGTTGAAAGGGTGACAATCTCAGTTGCTGCATTTGTGACAGCAAACCTATATAAAAATCAACTGTGATATACTAAACCATGGGAGCCAACTAGTTCTGTTCTTGAAAAGTGGATGTTTAGGGCTTTAACATGATTATATTGGCTACCTACTGCGAAAGGTGCTTCATAAGTTGATCTTTTGATCTATTGTGATATATGATTTGGAATTTAGTATTGTCAACTTGGGATTTTCTGAATGATGAACATGAATATGCAGCTTTCCTCTTTATTTACTTATTTATCTTTTCTTTTCATGTTTATTTTGAAGTGTCATGTTTAATTAAGGTTTTGTGGTACTACCAATTGTTTGATGTACTGCAGCTACTGTTACTATGTTTCTAAGTATTAGATAATTCAATTGATGTGCTCCTTTTGATCTTGTATATGACTTGTATTTGGAAGCTGGGATTCATAACTATCTTATGCTCTTCAAATTCTTTTAGCTTGTAACTCTTTTCTTCTGTGTGGTGTTTTCAGGAACCTGCAGGACTTCTTTCCATCCTTTATGTGCAAGGGAAGCTAGACATAGGATGGAGGTTTGGGCAAAGTATGATAATGATAATGTGAGTGATCTATATTTTTCAAAACCAAATTCCCTTTTCCCCTTCCCAGGAAAAATAAATAAAAAGCAAATCAAACAAGATGTTGAATCAATATTAGAACAGTTCCTAATTGCCAATAGTATTTTTTTTATAAGTCACAAGTGTTTCAACTGTAGTTTTGCAGGAGTTGATTGTCATGTATCTTTATATGTTATGCTTTGTCAGGTTGAGTTGCGGGCTTTTTGCTTGAAGCATTCAGATCTACAAGAGAAAAGAAGCATGCTGCCACTGGGAGGCTCTAATGCAGTTTCAGAAGCCAATGGCCTTCCAGTGACATTGCCAGTGAACAGTGAACACGATATTAAAATTGGTTGTGGGAATGGAGGGTTAGCGTCTGTCAATAGTGAAGACATATTGGACCATAATGATGAGCCACCAGATGAAGGATTTTCTGATTGTAGTTTAATTGCTCACGACATTTCGGGATGTGATGCTATGCCACAACATAATGTTGGAGTGGTTGGGAGGACCGGTGAGAATGTTGATGCGTCTGACTCCCTCAGTTTTGCACTTGTTTTGAAGAAGGTATTCTGTATTATGAGTATAAGAATGTGTGTATGTGTTTAGGATGAAACTGTCATTTTTGTAAACAATTGATCTTATTCTGTGCTCTTATTTTAAGTCGGCGTTCACTCTTTGGCAGTTGATAGATCGAGGAAAAGTTGATGTAAAAGATATAGCACCGGACATTGGTATTACACCAGATACATTAACTGCAAATATCAATGTATGTAGTACATGAAATTTATCATGTCCATTTTATGGAAAATGATTATTTTCAGTATAATATTTTATATTTTTTATATGTCTCAAATGTTATCCTTGCAGGAAGATTATATGGCCCCTGATGTGCGACACAAAATAGTTAATTGGCTAAAAGCCCATGTATATACTAGTGCATTTCAGAAAGGTCTAAAAGTCAAATTCAAACCAGCCAATGCATCCAAGGATGAAAGTGAAGCCACAGATGGTTCTGATACTTTACCAATATCAGATTCAGGTTTGCCGGATCCTGTTGCTGTTAAGTCGGTACCACCAAGGAGAAGAACGGTCAGTAACATTAGGATTTTGAAGGATAATAAAGTGATATGCTCATCTGAGGGAGTCACTAGCGAGAATGGGATGCAATTGGACAAGTTAAGAGTAGGTCATCCTGAGCGTGAAAATCCTGGAAGTTCCAAGGAAGCATCCTTTCCTGTTGCGACTGAAATGGTAATTATCTTCTAGAATTTATTTTCATTTACACAAGTCAGGATGATATAGAGGCCTTTGACTGTTTTAATTTATAACGAAGGAACCAAAGTTTGCTTTGAAATTTGGATTGGCTTGAGTTTTTACCTGTTCCTAGAAGTTCAAAACCTGATTGATGACATCCAATATCTTACATTATACGCGTAGAATAATTTGTTCCCATTTTTTTTCTGTCAACTTTGAACCACATGGCCAATTCTGCTTTCTTCCTTTCTTCCCTTCTGAACTTTGTAACCCCCTCTCCCAAAATGTTATTGACATTTTTGCAAGGATTGTTTAAATACACAGTATACTTTATTACAATTTCATGATGAGCGATTTCATTCATTTTTTATTTTTTACGCTGCATAGTAGTGGGACAAGGCTTGATTGTTGTTTGAGGGTTGGTTAGTTTTTGTTCTTTTTTCTGCTGGCTCTGCTTCAGTGTCGAGAAATCCCTGAAGAGTTTGAACTCATTATATTGAAGTAAATTGCTGATTCCATTTTAATATTTCATCCCTACCCCTAATATTGTTTGTGTAAATTAATTTTAGCTTTTGGAAAGCTGTCATGTATTGCCTATTAGGTTTTTATAAATTTCTTCCTCCCACCCCTCATTAAACCTTGAGTAGGGATTGTATTGACAAGGTGACATGTGGGGTCACATCTTGAATTCTGAAAATGGGTTTCTTGTAGTCACATTCTTGGATTTCTCAATATAGATTTTACGCGCCTCCAGTACTTGATGTCTATATATGATCATAGCAACATCAGCTTTTTGCATTTCATTTTTGAATTTAGTCCTTGCATGCAAGCTGTGATTCTGAGCTGGAAACAAGTGTTGCCAAATGTTGGTCAGATTATGTATGTATTCAGGAATCTGAAAATAAGCTTTGTAGAAGCCTGGTTTTCTTCTGCTTTCTGTATTTCTATTCCTTCTTCTGCCCTGTCCATCTCCAAGAATGTTGACTTGCCTGACTAATGACTACTCTATTTTCAATACATTGTTTGGCTATGTTTGGTTTTGGGAAAGTTGGTCATGATATTGTGAGACAACTGGTGTATGGAGTTGATTGTACATTTGAATTATGTGCATTGATGCGTGTCATGGGCCAACTATTCCAAAAGCTTAAACTTTTGGGTTAGTTGGTTCATGCCAGTTGCAACTATCCCCAAAAGCTTAAGCTTTTGGAATAATTAGATTATGTCATGGTATTAAAGCCTTTAAGGACCTTGTGGTCTAGAGTTCGATCTTTGCTGAGGGGGTGTGATAGGATTAAATTACCCTATCTAAAGAGGAGAGATTTTATTGGTAAGAATGATCAAATACAATGATATAAGAGCTAAAGCCCCCAGCCAAGGATTATTCCTCCCATCCCTGCCTAGTATGGCAAAATACTCACTTCCCCCGTATCCTCTTACCAGCGCTACTGCCCTCTTATATAAGAAGAGGCAAGAACAGAAAACTAACATCCTAATAACTAACTCCTAGAATTAAGGATAAAAGCAAAGCTGACTTATTTTCCTAATATCCTAATCCGAAACAGACTTTCAAAACAGAAACAGAACATCCTAATCTTGTAATCCTCCCCATCTTCTAACTGCCATATCTTAATAAAATTGACTTCACTTGGGCTTCTTGGGCTTGCGGGTGTAAATCTGGAGGATTTTGGGCTGCTTGGATGGGCTTGGTGCATCATGGTGTGTATACAAACCATTGGTGTGCTTTGACCCAACGGCTTAAGCTTTCGGAATGTGAGTTGGTTCATGACAATGAGATTCACGCTTTCAATATTTTTGTACTTTTTATTGTCTAAGAATGTGACGCGTGATGGAAGGAATTGGCAGTGAAGAAATAGAACTCTATAAGAGAGAAGAAATATTTCTGTAAAGAATCAATTCAACTTAAAAGTTTAAGTTGTTGGGTGAGGCTATATTAATAGTTTTTATGTTTCTCTAACACGCCCCTCATACGAGAGCTCATCGGGCTTGAAAGGTGGATGATGTATCAAGCCCAGCCTACTTGTGCTAAGAAACTCAACAATACTTAATTATTTATTAATTGAATGTGGGACGGTGAGGATCGAACTCATGACCATTCGGTCACATAAGCTCTGATACTATGTAAAGAACTAATTCAACCCAAAATGTAATAGTTTTATATTTCTCTAACAATTTCGTAAGAGGTGGATGACAAGATATGCTCCTTAATAACGCTGTCTGTTTGGATGTTTTGGGTGAACCTGATGGAATGGAATTAATTTTCACTTGTTTGGAAGTGACGAAAGAAATCATTTGTTTACTTTATTTTTTTATTCCATGCAGAGTTTAACCAAGCGTGAGGATATATCTCCCGAGGTTCAAGGTATGGCTTCAACTTGAAACTGTCTTTAAAAATTCAAGAGCTACTCACTCATATCTGGCGATTTCTTTCAAAAATCCCTATCTCTCTGCCATTCCTTTTTTTTTTTTTGAAGGAAGAGCATGGCTTTAATTTTATATATGATGAAAATACTTAGTTTTTGAGGATTTTGATTTGCTTTTAACTGAAAATTTGTCTGAGCCACTTCCATAAGTAGTTATGGCATGTTTTGCTACTATGTTCAGTTATTTTTAATTTGTTTTTTTTCTTGATGTATTATGTTTTTTAATAGTGTATAGCTACATTATGATTATGCAGGCAATGCTGATAAAATGCAGAATTCTGGATGTGTTTCAGAAGAAAAGTCTACTGATTGTTTGCAGAATTCTTCTATGCTTTCTGATCAGTGCTGTCCTGTTCATTCTGCTTCAGAACCACCTGATTCTGGTTTCATGTGAGCTTTTCCAAGTGGCTATTTTTGTTATTTGCAGCACGTACTGCTTTCTGTCTCCAATTGCTTGTTAGTAGTCAACCTCTGATATGACTTGCTTAGATTGGCATTCTCCTTTAAAGTCATGCTTCATTTTTTAAAATGCAGAAAGGTGGAACCGATATCTAGTTACATTCACCCATACATCAACAAGAAATTGCTGCATATTCGTGATGGGGTGCTCTTGGAGGACATTATATGTGAGATACATTTGAATATCTTTAGTAGGTGTTTGGTATGACCATTTTAATTTCCCAAGTTTGTCTAAATCTGTTTATATTTGGGTATGATATATGAAAAATTCCAAATCTTAAAAGTAGAATTTGTCAAAACCAATATTGGGATTGGTATTCATACCCAAATATAAAATAAATAGATTTCTAAGTGTTTGGGAAATTAGAATGACCACATACCAAATGGCTCCTTAGTGTTTTCTTCAATGTTCTTTGAAATAGGCTAATAGATTCTGTCTCAGCAGGTTCACGTGAGGAGGGAAATTCTTCTTTGGTTGAATCATCAGGGGCTAATGGCTGCTCAAGTAGCCAAAATCAGCAATTAACTAGCATTGACATTTTCAAGCCTGATCAAGCAAATATGGAGCAGTTGTTTGGGGCTAGAAAATTGGAACTTGTGGAGTTTCCTCCAGAAGATGAAGTGGAGGGGGAACTTATATATTTTCAGTATAGATTACTGCAGAATGCAGTTGCAAGAAAGAGGCTTACTGGTACGTCTTTCCTCTTTTTTTTCCTGCATTTTTTTTTTCAATTTTCAATTAGTTTTATGTTCGTAATATCATTCGTATTGTATCCCAGATTCAAATTTGGGGTTTGGAAATTTTCCCCCTCTTTTTTAAAATTTATTGCAATATTTGATTGTGAGGGCAAACCTTAGAGTAGTGGTAAGATTGCTCCTTGTGACCAGAAGGTCACAATATGAGTATGAGAAATAGCCTCTTTGCAAAAATGCAAGGGTAAGGCTGCGTACAATCGACCCTGATCCCTACCCTCGCAAGTCGTGGAGCCTTTGCATCGGGATTTGCCTTTTATTTGATTGTACTTGATTTTGTAATTGCAGATAACTTGGTCTACAGTGTTGCCAAGAGTTTGCCACAGGAGATTGATAAAGTACATCAGCAAAGATGGGATGCTGTGATTGTTAATCAATATCTACGTGATCTTAAGGAGGCCAAAAAACGTGGCAGAAAAGAAAGAAGGCACAGGGAAGCACAGGCAGTGTTGGCTGCTGCAACTGCTGCTGCTGCAGCATCCTCTAGGGTTTCTTCTTTCAGAAAAGACACCTTAGATGAATCTATGCAACAGGAGGTTATATATGCTTCTGTTTTCTCAATTTTTTTATTTACAAAAAAAAAAAAAAGCTAACTGTATTGACAATTAAAAATAATCATTTTTAGAATTTGCTAAAGTTGGATACTTTAAGTGGAAGGACTGGTGCTTGTTCTCAGCCAATGCCACGAGCCAAAGAGACACTTTCAAGAGTAGCTGTGGCAAGAACTTCATCAGAGAAGTATTCAGATTTTGGCCTGCTCACCTCAGATTCTTCTAAGGAGCAACGTAAATCATGTGATATCTGCAGACGATCTGAGACTATGTTAAATCCCATCCTAGTCTGCTCTGGTTGCAAGGTTTCAGGCCTCAGCTCTGATCCCTTTTCATGTACGTGTTTGTTTGATCTATGTCCCTTAGTAATTATTCTTTCTGTTGCAGGTTGCAGTGCACTTGGATTGCTATCATAGTGTGAAAGAGACAATGGGTCCATGGTATTGTGAATTATGTGAAGATTTATCGTCTAGAAGCTGTGGGGCATCTGCTATCAATTTCTGGGAGAAGCCTTATCTTGCTGCAGAATGTGCTCTCTGTGGTGGTACTACTGGTGCTTTTAGGAAGACCTCTGATGGTCAATGGGTTCATGCATTCTGTGCTGAGGTTAATTATTCTCATTTGATTTCTTTGGTAGTGCTCTTGTAATCCTTTAATTTTGCTTAAGTGTTAACTTCCTGATATTTGCAACATGTACTAGTGGGTTTTTGAGTCAACATTCAGAAGAGGACAAATAAATGCTGTTGAAGGAATGGTACGATCATTTCTTAAATTTGGAACTCCAACCTACTCTCCTTTACTTGTTTACTTCAAAAGGGAGCATTTAATTATCTTGTCTAACTATTATCTATTATATTATTGAATGCCAGGAGACTGTGCCAAAAGGAGTTGATATTTGTTGCATCTGCCACCGCAAACATGGTGTATGCATGAAGGTGATGATAATATCAGAAATTATTTCCCTCCTCTATACTTTTTCAATTAGCAAGATTTTGGAATTAATATTCCTGATTGCCAAGCCAACGTTAACATGGTGAATGCAGTGTTGCTATGGCCATTGTCAAACTACATTCCATCCATCCTGTGCTAGAAGTGCTGGTTTGTACATGAATTTGAGGACTGCTGGTGGCAAGCCGCAACACAAGGCTTACTGTGAAAAGCATAGTTTAGAGCAGAAGGCAAAGGTTTGATATGGTCTTTTGGAGTAAAGGTCCTCTTTGTTATTCTGGTATAATGGTATCTTAAGTTTATGTTCCTCATTTGCTCAGGCTGAAACTCAAAAACATGGAATCGAAGAGTTAAAAAGTATCAAGCAAATTAGGGTGAGACTTCGCTCCCTATTTTTTGTCTCCTTGATTCCTTCCTCATCTTTTATACGGCTTGTTAATAAGATATATTTTGTCATTGGAAACTGGAATAGGTTTTAGTTGGAACCTGTTTGGAGCATTTTTTTTTCAAGCTTAAGTTAAAAAGAGAGTTTAAAAAATAAAACTAAAAGTTGTTTGGTGATTATATAAAGCTGTTCTCAGGGTTTTGAAAGGGGGAGATAACATGATTTGTTATTATGATAAATTATTAGGATAAAGCGTAAAACTTATAAATACAAGTTTAAAATAAGGGTGAAACTGAAAAATAAATATAAAAACTCCAAAAAGCTGGCATACATCTTTAAAAAAGGAGCTTTAAGCTTTTTCTTTTTTTATTCATTATAAAAAAAACTCTTTTTATGATAAGAGTTTTTGTAAAAATATGTTTGGCTATGCTTCTCCTTATAAGAGAAGCTAAAAAGAAACCATCCAAACGGGTACATAGACTTTAAGATCACTAAACATATGAAGCTGTCTAAAATCTATTGGATAAAGATTGTGCTTCAGTCTTATTTTTGGTTTGGCAGGTCGTTGTAAAAGTATGATATAATAGTGGTGGCATTTATTGCATCTTTTAAATTTTAACGAGTCAAATCAAGTAATGAGATTGCGGAGTCCTTAGTGAGGGAACTAAAAGTTTTATGGAGCTGCTTGTAGAATAATTGTTGTGGGTGCCAGAAACCAACTATCCCAAAAACTTAAGCTGTCAAGTGAAGGCAGATGAATGATTTTATATTATATTCGTAGCACGACTCCTCGCATAAGAGCCCATGGGCCGGAAGGGTTAACAATGCACATGCCCAACTATTTGTATTAAGAAATTCCACAATATTTATGAGAAGATTATTAGAAGAATTGAGGCATCAAGGGTCGAACTTTGAACTGCTCTGATACCATGTCATGAAACCAACCTAACCTAAAAGCTTAAGTTGTCACGTGAAGTTAGATGAATAATTTTATATTTTATTTTTTATTTCTAATAGTGGTCTTAGGATACATTAGTAGGTTTTTGTAGCAAATGACCGCTTGGTTTGGACGCATGAAAGTGCTTGGCATTAATGAATTGGTAGGCAATAGAGCATAAAACTTTCTGGGATTTTAAATGTCAGTCTAAAATAACTATTTGACAAAGTAGAGTGTTATTGACAAAGTACCCTTATGTCTGCTACATGGTTCTTTTTCAGTATAACCATAGTTTCAAGCACATGTCAAATGATTAGTAAATGCCTCTAGGCTATGAAGCATAGACACATGATTTTTTTTGAAATGTGAGTGTCCGACAAGCACCGACATAGACACGCATTCGACACGTGGTCAACAAATTTGGACACGTTGACCTTTCCGACACGCATATTTGATGGTGTTGGACATGGTCTCTACAAAACATTCTGATCCCAAGTAAAAAAAACCCTAATCACAATATGAAGAAAATCCCTAACCATCGACCATCGTTCTCTGTTTTTCCGTCGATTCTCGTTGTCCCTTCCACTGTTGTCTCTTCCGCCGCTGCCGGGGCTTTGCTTCGATGCTCCGGGTGTGTTTCTCACCCGCCATCTTCTCTTCTCAGTGTGTCGTCTTGTCCTTTCTCTTCAGTTGCTGCTCCGTCCTTCATAGCTCTCCCTTTTTGAATCCTCCTCCTTTTTATTCTTTATTGTAATTTCTCCCTCTGTAAGTGATGTGCGTGCGTGTTCTAAAGTCTGGTTGGAGATGACCACTGAAAGGTTGAAGATGAAGAGAAAGGACGAGAAGTTCAAGGAAGCATCGTAATATTGTTTTCTAAATAACTTGAAACGACCACGTATTGTTTATGTTGTATGTTCAAATTTAAAAGGGTAGAGCATTGTTTATTTGTTTTAACCCACTAATTAATTTTTTTTATTCTGATATTTAAACTTTCTATAATAAATACATTTAATTAATTTTTTTTTTTCTGATCATGCATTTATTCTGATTGATTGCATTTAATCTGATTGATTGCATTTAATCTGATTGATCGTGCATTTAATCATTCATGTTTTTTTGCTATGCATTTATTGTTATAATTATGTTTCTTTCTTTATTTTCTTAATTGATTGTTAGACTTCTAAGTATGGAAATAATTTATTTATTTTTTTGGTTAATTTGACGGATATTAAAAATCACTCCCCAATTAAACCCAACTAGCGAGTGTGGGGTGAGGGCAATCCTTGTACGAAGCCTTACCTTTGCAAATAATTGCAAAGAGGCTCTTTCCCGGATTCGAACCCGTGACCTTTCAGTCACAAAGAAATAGCTTTACCACTGCTCCGGTTCGCCCTCTGTTATATTTTGATGGATATAATTAGTTTTATTTTATTTTTAAGTTATTAAATATGATATATAAAATACATTATATATTAAAAATATTATTTAATATCAAAATGTTTCCTAACATGTCGAAATTTAACATTTTTTAGAATTAATGTGTTGGAATGTCGTGTCATGTCCCGTGTCGGTGTCGGTGCAACATAGCCTCTAGGTACTTAAATGTGTTGTTTTGCGCATAATTAAAGTAATGGTGCTTCTCCTTTCCATTCACTAAGGGAATTCTTGTAATTTTTATTGTCTCTGAACTTAGGAATCATATTTATTTTGTTTTTTCGAAGTTCAAATTCAGAATTGTGATTTGTGAAAAGCGAGACCGGAGAAAACAAGTACTCCTATATTAACGAGAGCTTTGTGGACAACGATTGTATTATCAAGATGACTATAATCTTACTCAAAATGTATTGTGGTAATTTTAAGTTTCGTGGCATTCTGTGACCAAAAGCTCAATGTCGTTGTCACAATCACATTTCTCTTCAAAAAGTTAGCCTCTTCTTATACCCCAAAGCTTAAGACTTATAAATCCAATATTAGGAATTGTGATTTGATTGGCTGTGATGTGGATAACGATTTGAGATGGGGAGAAGGATTAGTGAGTTAGGAAGTAATAACAGGATGTAATAGCTGGTGCTTTGTTGCACACACATCTGGAACAGTTGCATTAGGAATATTGATTTTGCTTAGTTGAAATTAGTAGTCTCTTGATCCTCACTTGTATGCATGTGGCATGTTAATCCACTTTTCTTATATTTTTTTTAAAAAAATTAATTAGTTGAAACTTAAAATAACTACCCACCAAACTTACATTTTACTTTTAGGTAAAGTTATGTGTGTGTGTGGGAGGTGGGAAGGTATGTACTTGGTGATTGTTGAGGGGTGAAAAGAGCTAATCTTGATCATTAGATCGGATGGTCGAGATTAACTCCTCTCACCTGATATAGTACAAGAATTGTTTTTTTTTTTTTTTTGAAAGAATACAAGAATTATTTTAATGCATGTATTTTTATTTAGTAAATGTCATGTATATAAACGAATAGGTATGCATCTGCATTAGAAGCACTTCTAGTTGTAAGTGACGTGTCTGCTTCTTTTAAGTGTATCAATTAACTTGACTCTTCCTAAATGCTTTTGAAACAGGTTGAACTAGAGAGATTACGTCTTCTTTGTGAAAGAATTGTAAAACGTGAAAAAATAAAGGTATGTGGAATCTCTGTTTTATAAGAATCTTGAGTTTTTTTAAAAATCTGAGTCAAGGCCCAAGTTATTTTACACCATTTGGCCCTACGTTCTAGATGATATTTACTGTGTCATTTCCAGAGTTTGATATATAATCTCTATATAGTATTTTCAGTTTGGGCTTTGATTCTTATGTCTGGATCTTGTTACATTTGGCTGTCTTGTATGCTCATTTTCTTGATTAACTTCTGGTCTTGTGTGACATTTGCAGCGGGAATTGGTTCTATGCTCACATGACATACTTGCCTTTAAAAGAGATCATGTTGCTAGGTCTGTGCTGGTTCGTAGCCCTTTCATCCTTCCGGATGGTAGTTCAGAATCAGCTACAACGTCCCTTAAAGGGAACACAGAGGGGTACAGATCATGCAGTGAAGCACTCCAAAGATCAGATGACGTAACTGTGGACAGTTCAGTTTCTGCTATGCACCGTGTCAGAGTTGCCATATCCATGGACACGGACCCAAAATTAGATGATGACTGCTCAACCTCACAAAGTCACTATAATCACAAGATTGCAGAGAGGATGCAATTTTCTGGCAAGCAGATTCCTCATAGAGCTTCCGCCACATCACGTAATCTTTCGGATGATGGTGGATGGAGATCCAAATCTAGAAAGGTGCTATCTATGACTTTTAAGACTTGTCCTCCTATTTTCTATTTTCTCTCATTTTACTTTGAAAATTTAGTTAGTGGGTGGGTGAATTCTAGATTTAGTGGGACAAGTCCTCATGCATTCATGCTTATTTGCACTTACAGCATGCTGAGACATTTGGAAAAGAGCTTGTTATGACGTCAGATGAAGCATCTATGAAGAATTCTATGTTACCTAAAGGATATGCATATGTTCCTGCTGATTGCCTGTCAAATGACAAGCAGTCTAACGAGGATGTATATGCTAGTGGACCAGTGGAACATGACGGGTAAAGTCTTGGATCCTAGCCTTGCTTTTATTTTGCCCACGAGGCTGACGTCCACAATTTTCGCTGCCATTTTGCACGTGGAGTTGTATTTGAGAATGGCCAAATGTAGAGAGAGGGCTCTGGTCACTGTATTGTTGCGGAATGTTGTATTCTGCTCTGGCGGGGGGAAGTTTTGGTTAGCATTCTTGTACATTCGTTATGAGAGTAAACTGTACAGTGGATGAGCATTTCTTGCATTTACTTGTATTAGAAGGGCATGCATTGCTTTTTTACTGACACTCTGGAAGGATGGAAAAGCATCATTCCTTCTTGTAAACATACAAGGGAAGACCAGGGAATCACCTGTTTTTCTGTATAGTTGATGTACATATTATGACAATCGGGTTAATTCTGAAAGAGATCGTGCTCGGCATCAGATTCACCGAGCATATAAATTATGTAGCCTTCCACCCTGCTTTCAATTTTGTATTTTTCTTTCTCATACTGCATTTATGTTATGGGCATTAACGCTGATTGTCATTTGTGGTCATTTCTGATTGTGTCTTTGGGCCAATCTGTCCTTTGTTATTTGGGTCTGACTTCCTCTTTCTTGTGTATACTCTCCTATAAGCCTCACTAATACCTCCCTCTTTTACATTCACCTTGTCCTCAAGGTGAAAAAGAGGAAATTGCTCTTGAAAATCTCAAGGTTTTCCCAAGAATTTTCACAATCGGGTCTGTCTGTCCATTTATTCAACAATTTACAAGACGGTACCAGATTATGCAAGACACATCAAAGCTTCATGTAGATTTTCTGAAGTGGAAGTATGAAACCTCTGCAATAATGCCGTTCAAAGTTGCCCCTAACTGACGTTTGGGTTTCGAGCCTCCCACCATTAAAACCAATTTAGAGCTCTCCCCTTCATACAAACTGATGCGGCCTCTACTTTCTCCTCTGATGGAATTTGATTGAGTCTGAAGTAGCGTTTGGCCCGATATATCCACCCATAAGGATTATCACCAATAAAGTATGACACCTCTAAACGCCTCATTCCATCCCTATTTCTACCATTTCCACCATTGCGTCCTCCCCTGTTTTCACTCTCTCCTCCTTGATTTCCTCCTCCCTTTACTGTCCACCTTATCCAAATATGCAAAAACTGTCTCCCGAAGCTGATGCATTTCCACCGTCATCTCCTCCATCATTCCTTCCAACATGGTAGTTCTCCTCTCCACTGATTCTACTTGCCCTTCCATTCTTGTCTGGACCATTCAACGGTTCAAGGATCGGGAGCTTTGATATAAAAAATGATCGAAACCAGATTTAACACACAAGTAAAATTGGGAAAACAATGACTGATTGTATTAAAATGCCAACAAATAGAGACACTTTACGAATGGAAAATTGTAGAATTAAAATGACAATATTAATATGGCTCACATAGCTAGGAAAAAACATTCAACCAAGTGACAACATAGGACTGCACAATACCTCTCACCCTTCCTTTACCCCACTACAATGACATTTTAGCATACTCCCATTATACACACTTTTCTTTTTATAATAGAAAAAATGTGTCATTTTAAAAGATGTAAGTTTGTCTCATTTTAAGTAAGAGAAAGAGATAGATAAAGGAAGAGAGAGAGTGGACAAAAACTATAAAGGTGGGAGTCTCACCTCTTTGTGAGAGTCAAATAATACAAGTTGTGTCATTTAAAAGGACAAACATTTTTCCCTTTTATAATATCCTTTTGCATTTTCTCTCCTATAACTGCCTACTTATGCCACATCTCACATTTTGTTATGCTTCTATCTCCAATTCTGTTTGCCGCCTCTCCACTTTTGTTCGCTGCTTCTCCCCAATCTGTCCTTGGGCTTCTGGTTGTATCTTTGGATCATTCTCTTTATTATTTTCTAATTGTGTCTATGGGTCAATCTGACCTTTGTTATTTGGGTCTGATTGTGGGAAAAATGAGTAAAGTGTCATAAATCCCAAAATATTTTGCTTAAAAACCATGCAAACAATAAAATTTTCCAAAATGCCACGTGTGCAAATTTGTTACAACAGATAGCGAACTTTGTTTACAGGCATGACACATTTTTGGTGGCTACGTAATTCGCTACTGGTAGTATTTAGAATATAATTTTGAGAAAAGTATTTGTCATTTCGAATAATACAACTTTGTGTCATTTTTAAAGAAACTACGTCATTTTAGTGTGTTTTGTCATCTTTACTTTTTTTAAAATTAGGAAGGAAAAAAAGTGGAGGAGAGAGAATGTAAAAACACATCAAAACGATGTAGTTTCATTAAAAATGACATAATTTTATGTCATTTAAATATTTTATTTCTCACAAACATTGTTCAAACCCATACAGAGTTGTATTATTTATTACATTTTTATTTCCCATTTTTATCAATTTTGAAAATAAAGAAATCATAAAAGCTTTTTTCTTCTCAATGAAAACTCTTTCGTTCTCCCTTTCTTATCCTCCACCTAATTTGTTAGCTTGTGTAGCGAATTTATATCGACCGCCACATGTTCTATTTTTATTCAGAGCAGAATGATATTTTGACCACCTAACTCGCTACTATCAATAACGAATTAGGTGGCTACAAAAAAACGTGCCATGTCTGCAAAAATAATTCCCATATAGAGTTGACATATTTTATTTATCTCTCTTGTTAAGTCAATGCTTGATTTGTTGCTTTTTGTGTGATAGGTTTTTAATCTAACGCTTCTTAGTCCTCAGGCTATAAAAGTCGGCTCTTTGACCCATTTGAGATTTTTACCCCTATAATTTTTCAATCTGATATTTGATTCACGGTATTTATCAATGGGGATCATCGAGTGACGCGAGGGGGACCCAGCGATACTGAGTGTCGCGACCCTCTTCCCGCGAACCTCACATTCTTTTATTTATTTATTTATTTATTTATTTTCAATTGAGTGACGCCCCCTTCCCAGGGACACTTGGCACAATCTCGTTACCGTAAAACTTCGGAAAGTCATAACTTTTGACTCGGATCCAAATCAGATGATTTTTTTTATTTCATATAACTTTTCGAGATCTACGCAATGATACCTCATTTGACATATATTATCTCTCACAAACATTGTTCAAATACAGAGTTGTATTATTTATTACATTTTTATTTTCCATTTTTATCAATTTTGGAAATAAAGAAATCATAAAAGCTTTTATTTTCTCAACGAAAACTCTTCCATTCTCCCTTTCTTATCCTGCACCTAACTTGCTGGCTTGTGTAGCGAATTTATATCGATCGCCACATGTTTTATTTTTATTCAGAGCAGAATGATATTTTGACCACCTAACTAGCTACTATCAATAGCGAATTAGGTGACTACAAAAAAACATGCCATCTCTCCAAAAATAATTTGCTACCTGTTATAGAGAATTTTCATGCGTGATATTTTGAAATTTTTTCCTGTTCAAGTGATATGTAGGCAAATTTTTTTGGGATTTGCAGCACTTTGGTCACTGTTCGATTGTTTCTTCGGGTCTGATTGTGTCTTTGGGTCTGACTTCTTCCTTCTTGTGTATACTCTCCTGTGAGCCTCACCAGATTGATACACCAAATTGATTATATAGACAAATTAGATTATAATTTTTTTTGTGCATATTCACTGAGGCAAGATTTATTTTCTAGTAGGTCTAATGATGATGCTATACGTTTTATGAAGTTACTTATCCCTCTCGTTTATCCATGTGCTTGGTATTCTATTATGTATAAAAAAATACCTACTTTATATTATTTATGCAAATAAATAAATAAATTTTCATTAAGAGTTTGGAACCTTTAGTTGATAAATTTTTTAGATTTGTAAATGACTGCTTCAAACTTTAGTTCGTTATTTGTAAAGCTTCCTTGGGGCATGCTGCACACAAGCTTCAGCAGTGGTCTAGTCTATTACACAGTAGTGTTTAACTAGGTTGTCAGTGGCGGCTCGTAGCGCCGCTAAATCGCTACCGTAGCGGGTAGCGGCGGTCGGCCGCTACAAACTGCGACGCTATGCAACTTTGGCCGTAGCAGAAGGTAGCGGCGTAGCGTAGCGTCAATACCGCTACCCGCTACACCACTCCCATGTTGGAATTTGATGGAGAATCCGAAGATGATGATTTTTTTCATTAGTTCACTTCTTGTACTTGACTATTTGACAATTTTATTGTTCATTTGTGTTTAATTTTGGATCCTTCCTTTATGTTCCTTGTATTTGACATTGATTATGGAATTATGTGTTTGATTTTGTGTGACTTCTTATGTTTGAACATTAATACTAAAAGTGATATTGCCTCGTTTCTTGACTATTTGACAATTTTATTGTTCATTTGTGTTTAATTTTGGATCCTTCCTTTATGTTCCTTGTATTTGACATTGATTATGGAATTATGTGTTTGATTTTGTGTGACTTCTTATGTTTGAGTATTAATACTAAAAGCGGTATTGCCTCGTTTCTTGATTGTTAGTATAATATATGTGGAATTAATATTTCACCATACCGCTATACCATTTTTGGGGTCGGCCGACGGCCGCTACCGTCACTAACTGCTATTGACAACTATGGTGTTTAACAAAAAGTGTTTTTGCTTGGAGGCATTCTCCAGTCTGTACTTTGTTTATTGCGTTTTTGGAGTTTAGAGGCTCTGCAATAAGTAATTATTGAGTTTAGAGGCTCTGCAATAAGTAATTATTGGCAATCATCACCTCTTGACTCTGCGTAGGCATTTTATTTATCTCTCTTGTGTAAGTCAATGCTTGATTCCTTGCTTTTTGTTTGGTAGGTTTTTAATCAAACGCTTCTTAGTCCTCAAGCTATAAAAGTCAGTGGTGGTTGCATAGAAACAATTTGTGTTTATCTAGTGAATCATGAGATAAGATATTTTTATTGTCAAATATTTCTATTATCAATTTAATATAATTATGTATTATTGGTCGTATATTAAAAAAAAAATTCAAATTTTTTTTAGAGATTATGTGCTGAAAAATGAGATCCAACGGCTGAAAAATGATAATAAATTGATAATAGAAATATTTGTTAATAAAAATATCCTATCTCGTGAATCATTCATTCATACATTCTCTCTCCATTTTTCTAAAAGTTGTCTTCTTGTTCTTTCTAATTTTTCGGCAATCCCAACCATATTTACATCATGTTAAATTTATTTAGTCTGAAACGAGTTATCGATCTCACCTTACATGTATCTTGACATGATCTTATCACAATTCCTTGCAGGCTGGTATCTTAAATTTCACGTTAACTCGTTTGCTATTATATTTTTATGGGATTAACATTTCTCATATTATAAGAGATAATTTTATCTCCTACACACACATAAAAATTTTATGTGTGTGTAGGAGATAAAAGTGTGTGAAATCGATGTGAAAAGAAGAGATCACATACTTTTATGTGTGTGTAGAAGATAATTTTTATCTACTATAAT